CTCCCAGATCCTTCATTTCAAACTGTTTTGACAACTGTTGCTTTAGCTTGTCAATCTCTTCCATGCTGGAACCTGCAATTAACATATCATCCACATATAGCAGTAGAATGATATAGGAGTTGCCAAAATGTTTGACATAGCAACAATGATCAGCCTGACATTTTGTGTATCCCGTACTACACATGAAGTTATCAAACTTCTTGTACCACTGTCTTGGAGCTTGCTTCAAACCATATAGGCTCTTCTTTAGTTTGCAAACTTGACTCTCCTTTCCTGGTATTGCAAACCCCTCTGGTTGTTGCATGTAAATTTCTTCCTCCAATTCTCCATGAAGAAATGCTGTTTTTACATCTAATTGTTCAAGATGTAAATTTTCTGCAGCTACTATCCCCAGAACAACTCTGATTGTTGTAAGCTTCACAACTGGAGAAAATATCTCAGAATAGTCGATCCCCTTCTTTTGCTGAAACCCTTTTACAACAAGTCTTGCTTTGAACCGTTTGCTTCCGTCATGCTCGGTCTTTACTCTGTAGACCCACTTGTTTTGCAAGGCCTTCTTTCCTTCAGGCAGTTTGGTTAACTCCCAAGTCTTGTTCTTCAGCAATGACTCCATCTCGTCTTTCATGGCTAACTCCCACTTGCTCGAGTTTCCATCTTGTAAGGATTCTTCATAAGTTAATGGTTCACCACCATCGGTCAGCAAGATATAATTCAGTAGAAGTGTGAACCGTTGTGGAGGCTTTATAGTCCTTGAAGACCTGCGAACAGCTGGTTCACTTGGCTCTGCACTATCTTGTGTAGAAGTGGTGGGTACTGAAGTGCTTGAACTATCTTATGTGGACTCTTGAGTGGTAACATCAGGAAGCCCTTCTAATTATATGAATTCAGATTTCTGTGAACTCGTATCTGAATCAGTTATCTCTAGTTCTGTACTTGATTTGTCTTTGTACAAAACTTTCTCGTTGAAGATCACGTTCCTGCTTCTGATAATCTTCCTGTTCTGATCATCCCAGAACCGAAATCCAAATTCTTCATCTCCATAGCCAATAAAGAAACATTTCTTTGATTTGGCATCCAGCTTGTTGCGAGCATCAGAGTCTACATGCACATAGGAAACACACCCAAAGACTTTTAGGTGAGCAAGCTGTACTTCTTTTCCTCTCCAGACTTCCTCGGGCAGTCTGAACTCCAAAGGTACTGATGGTCCACGGTTGATCAAGTAAACTGCAGTATGAACTGCATCAGCCCAGAATGTTTGAGGTAGCCCAGAATGCAACCTCATGCTTCTAGCTCGTTCATTGATGGTCCGGTTCATCCGTTCAGCAATACCATTCTGTTGTGGTGTGCCTGGAACTGTCTTTTCCATTCTGATACCGTTGACAACGCAATACTCCTTGAAACCTCCATCAATGTATTCTCCTCCATTATCAGATCGTAAGCATTTTAGCTTCAAGCCTGATTCAGTCTCAACCATAGCCTTCCATTTCTTGAACGTGTCAAACACATCAGATTTATTTTTCAGAAAGTAGACCCATACCTTTCTGCTAAAGTCATCAATAAAAGTGACATAGTACCGAGAACCGCCAAGGGATGCTACTGGAGCTGGTCCCCATAAATCTGTGTGCACCAGTTCTAGTTTTCTTGGTCTTAAGGTCCTGCCAACCTTTAAGAAACTGAGCTTCTTCTGTTTTCCGAGAACACAGCTTTCACAAATGTCTAGATCAACATTTTTTAATTCTGGCAGCTTTCCCTTTGACTGAAGTATCTTCATCCCCTTTTGACTCATATGGCCGAGTCTGCAATGCCATAGCTGTGCCTGATTATCTGCTTCAGTAGAGGCAATTATATCTGCTGATCTTGTGGTCATATACAGGGTGCCGGTTTTCTTTCCACGAGCCAAAACCATTGCTCCCTTTGATACCTTCCACATTCCTCTAGAGAAAAGGATTGAATGGCCACTATCATCAAGTTGTCCGACCGAGATCAACTTCTTCTTTAGTTCAGGAACATGCCTTACATTTTGCAAGTTCCATGTAGATCCATTCATTGTCTTGATTTGCACATCTCCTATACCCACAATCTCCAATGGTTGTCCATCGGCCAGATAGACTACCCCATAATTTCCAGCAGTGTAATTTTGCATCATTTCATGGTGTGGAGTACAGTGAAATGAAGCTCCAGAATCAAGAACCCAATCATCAATAGGACTATGTACAGCAAGGATCAAAGCATCTTGTACCTCGTTTGTAGTGGCATTTACAGAATCAGCTTCAGGTTTCTTTGGTTTTGTGCAACTCCTCATAAAATGGCCAGGTTTGCCACAATTCCAACATTCAACCTGCTTCCTGGGTCCAAACTTGCTTTTGCTTCTGTACCTGGATTTTGATCTGCCTCTGGATAAGCCTCTGTCTTGTCTCCTTCCTCGAGTGTTGATGTTGAAAGCTGAACCTGAACTTGAGCTTTCACCCGAGTCTTTTCTTCGTACTTCTTCAGCTAAAATCAGGTCTCGGATATCATCATACTTTAATTTGGATTTTCCAGCTGAGTTGCTTACGGCTGTTCTCATACCTTCCCAACTGCTTGGAAGTGAAGCTAGCAAAATAAGTGCTCGGATCTCATCATCAAACTCAATTTCAACGAATGACAATTGATTTGTGATGGTGTTGAAATTATTAAGATGCTGTGTAACAGAGGTGCTTTCTGTCATCTTCAGGTTGAACAGCTTCTTCATCAAGTGCACTTTGTTATTTGCTGATGGCTTCTCATACATCCCAGACAAGGCTTCCATCAATCTTGCTGTGGATTTCTCTTTTGTAACATTATGAGCAACTCTTCTTGACAATGATAGCCGGATAATGCCCAAGACTTGTCTATCAAGTATTTGCCAATCTTCTTCTGACATGTTTTCTGGCTTGCTCCCCAACAGAGGAAGATGAAGTTTCTTCCCATATAGATAATCTTCAATTTGCATTTTCCAATATCCAAAATCAGTTCCATCAAATTTTTCAATTCCTGCAGCCTTTATTTCATCAGCCATTTTTACTCTTTCTCGGATTTGAATCTCAAAAATCTGACCTTACAGATGTGTCCGGAATGGCCAAAAATGCTGGAAACGACACTGAGATCACCCAAATCGGACTTCGGATGGCTCCGATTTAAGCAATCAAAGTTTGGGATAACTGGACGCTGCAGATGAAGCCACGTGGCAGGAGGAATAGTCGATGCGCCACACCGGATCAAAACCCAGGTATGCTGACGTGTCAGGATGACGTGTCAGACACGTAGGCAATGTGGGGTCCACCGAATCTGACGTGGCAGGCCCGCAGAGTTTTTTGGATGACGTGGCAGTGCTGACGTGGTGATGACGTGGCAGGGATGACGTGACTGCTTGACTGGTCAGACGACTGACGTGGCAGGGGCGCGCGGCTGCTGACTGTGCTGGTCGGCTGACGTGGCAGGGGCGCGCGGCTGCTGACTGTGCTTGTCGGCTGACGTGTCTGCTGACGTGGCAGTGTCGATTTGCAAGAATTGGCGAGGAAGACGCGTGACGCGCGTACGGCGCGTCTGTGCGCGTGACGCGCGTACGGCGCGTAGGCGCGTGCGGGCATGCAGGACGTCGGATGTTCGCCGGGTTTTCACCAGTGGATTCCTCTCGTCGTCCTCTTCACGGTGGTATGTTCAAAAACACGTTTTGAGAACTTTGATTTTTGAGTTTGGATCAAACACCCTCTTTTTCAAGAACTTTCAAGAACAAGCTCTGATACCAGTTGTTAGGAGATCCAAACATTCAAACACACACAAATTTACGTGGTTCGGCAACTTGCCTACTCCACGGAGCTACTGGTTTGTATTAATCAAGCTCAAAAGCAATACAAACAACAAAACAAGGAGGAGGAGAAAACTTCTCAACTCAACTCAACTCTCACCCTTAGCTCTCTCTCTGTGTTTCTCTCTATCTCGTGGTCTATCTCAGCTATCAATACATCTTCTATTTATAGCTGAGGAGGGAGATGATTGTTCAACAATGGTGGGCAAGTTAGGCACCTACCATTTGACTATAATTTCAACCATGGCTGCCACCAACCATGGCTGCCACCAAACATGGCTGCCACCTACCATGGCTGCCACCGTCCATTTGTGTCCACACACATAACACAGAAGCCATGAACATTGCATTGATTATTCAACGCAGACCACTCAATATGCACACTCCGGCTAGTTTCGTTCTCTAAGCAGTGTGAGTACGACCTGAAAATCCCATCAGCATCAAGCGTCGCACGAAAGATTGTTGTTTTGTTGTTACAGGGATAAGAACTTCTTGCCAACCAGACTGGTTTTTTAGAGACCGTATCCATGGACAGAAATCCCTGGTGATTAAGATAGAGACTCAACCCCTTGTTGTCTCCAGTAGTATTACTGGCCCAGTAAGCATCAACAGATTCACCAGCGCTGTTTGTAGGGTAGGCGACAAGGTTTCCATCTTCCTGCATCGCGAGGGAAAACCTTCCACTGGAGTGATTTGAGCTCGACACGCTTGAAACCAATTTAGACACACTTGAAACCAATTTATCAGAAGAAGTAAGATTCTGACCTCCTAATATGGTGTCAGTTGGGTAATCAAAGCTTTGCCAAATAACAGAAGAACCATTGTAAAGCACGAAATTACCAGAATCGAGCATTGAAGCTGAAGCTGCGACTTCTGAAACATTAGCAATAAGATTTTCATTGCCCTGCTCAGTTCGAAGAAGTAGCTTACCCTCTTCTGATAAGTGAATGGTGCCAATATATTCTCTTTTATTTCATTTTTTTAATAGCTATTAGTCTTTCTTTTGTAGCTGTCAGTATATTCTCCTTTTCTTATTCTATTTCTTTCATAGCTGTCACTATATTCTTCTTTCTTTGTTTAATTTCTGTCATAGCTGTATATCCCTGGATTCTCTCTAAAGATCTCAATTATTGTCTAGGCCTAGTATTAAAGAATCTGATTATGTTTATTAGATGCTAGAATTAAGGGTTTTGATACTTCTTGATGTATATATATATTGTAACTCTCTTAGTGAAAGGGGGACAGAAAACATTTCAGAATTTCTCCTCTTAGTGAAAAAGGGACAGAAAACATTTCAGAATTTCTCTTGTATTATCTTGTCATGGTATCAGAGCCAAAATTCTGAAATCAATTCATCTTGTGTCTAGTTCCTTATCTGGTTCTTTTATTCTGTTTTTCTTGGACTTGATCTTTTTGTTTTGTTTCTAGTTAAATCTTGTCTATGGAACGATCTGAACATTTTATTGTTCGATTTACTGGAAAGAACTATTCTGCCTGGGCTTTCCAGTTTCAGATTTTTGTCAAGGGAAAGGAATTATGGGGTCATATTGCTGGGACAGTTCCTGCACCTGACAGTGAGCAGGAAAAGGAGAAATATGTGAAATGGGAGGTGAAGGATGCTCAGATTATGTCTTGGATCCTTGGAAGTATGGAACACTCCATGCTTCTCAATCTCAAGCCTTACAAATCATCTAGAGAAATGTGGGATTACCTAAAGAAAGTTTACAACCAAAGCAATACAGCACGAAGGTTTCAATTGGAACTTGAGTTGGGTCAACTCAATCAAGGTAGTATGTCAATACAAGAATTTTATTCTTCCTTTGTAAATCTTTGGGCTGAGTACACAGACATTGTGTATGCAAGTGTACCTCTTGAAGGACTTATTGTTATTCAAAGTGTACATGAGACTAGCAAGCGTGATCAATTTTTAATGAAGTTAAGAGGGGAATTTGAAGCAATCAGGTCCAACCTGATGAATAGAGAACCAGTTCCTTTCTTGGATATTTGTGTAGGAGAGCTTCTCAGGGAAGAACAACGGATCATTACACAAGCTGTCTTGGAGCAGAAAGCTCAAAATTCTACTCCAATCCCTGTTGCATACACTGCTCAAGGGAGGTTTAAAGGAGGTAGAAATATGTCAAATGTTCAGTGTTATAGCTGCAAAGGATTTGGGCACATTGCCACTACTTGTACCAAAAAATTCTGCAACTATTGTAAGAAAACAGGGCATATCATCAAAGATTGCTCCATCCGGCCTCCAAAGAAATCTGAAACCGCCTATAATGTCTCGGTTGGTTCCTCCAATACTCCTAGTCCTGGTCAGTCCTCTATTACCCCTGAAATGGTCCAACAAATGATAGTTTCTGCCCTTTCTGCTTTAGGCCTTTCAGGTAACCGAAATTCCATTCCTAAGCCTTGGTATTTTGATTCTGCTGCTTCTAATCACATGACCAACACTGTCTTACCTTTAAATAATGTTAAAAAATATAAAGGTAATCTTCATATTCGTACTGCCGATGGTAATCCTTTGTCTATCACAGCTGTTGGTGATATTTCAGCCCTTCTAAATACTGTCTTTGTGTCTCCTAAGCTGTCCACTAATCTCATATCTGTTGGCCAATTAGTTGACAACAATTGTGATGTTCATTTTTCCAAATCTGGTTGTTTTGTGCAGGATCAAGTGTTCGGGAAGATGATCGTGAAGGGACCTAAAGTGGGACGTCTATTTCCCTTGCTTCTATCTCCCTCTCCTATGTTAAATTATGTTGCATGTAATGCTGTTCACTGTGATAATCAGGTGTGGCATAGACGTTTAGGACATCCTAATTCTCATGTACTTCGAGTCTTGTTTAAATCTGGTTTATTAGGAAATAAAAATTCAACTTCTTCTCATAATGATATTGTTGATTGTGCATCTTGCAAACTTGGTAAAAGCAAAACACTTCCTTTTCCATTGCATAAAACTCACACCACCAAACCTTTTGAAATCGTGCATACTGATGTATGGGGTATTGCACCTGTCATTTCTCATGAACATTATAGATATTTTGTTACATTTATAGACGATTTCACTCGTTTTACTTGGGTATATTTTCTTCGATCTAAAAGTGAGGTTTTCTCTGTGTTTAAAGCCCTTCTTGCCTTAGTTGAGACACAATTTTCTGCCAAAATTAAAATTCTGCAATCTGATTCAGGTGGTGAATATATGTCAAATGCATTTCAATTTTTTCTTCAAAGTCATGGGATCATATCACAACGTTCTTGTCCTTTCACCCCACAACAAAACGGTGTGGCTGAAAGAAAGAATCGTCATCTTCTTGATGTTGTTCGAACTCTTCTCCTTGAGTCATATGTTCCTTCTCATTTTTGGTGTGAAGCTTTATGTACTGCTGTTTATTTAATTAATCGATTACCATCTCCTCACTTGAACAATGATTCTCCTTATGTTCGTTTGTTTGGACATGCACCAAATTATTCCAATCTTCATATTTTTGGATGTGTTTGTTTTGTTCACCTTCCTGGACATGAGAGAAATAAACTTACTGCCCAATCCGTCAAGTGTGCTTTTTTAGGCTATGCTGTCACCCAAAAAGGATTTCTTTGTTATGATCCACATGCACGTCGAACTCGTGTCTCTAGGAATGTTATATTTTTTGAAAATCAGCCTTTCTTTTGCACCCAACAGCCTTCTGTATTTCCATCTTTATCTGTTTTATCATCTTTTTCTAAGTCATCAACACTAATACAAAGGTTTAAACCTGGTTATGTTTATCATAGACGCACTCCTGCTGCTGCTCCTTCTCCAAGTATCACCGAGGTTCCTTCACATCTTCCTGCAACATCTGATCCTATTCTGCCCATTTCCTATGATCCCCCTCCTCTTCGTAGAAGCTCTAGACCTCACAAACCTCCTGAAAGGTATGGTTTTTCCACTCCTGTGGCTATGTCTACTACTCTCTCTTCTATTTCCATTCCCACTTGTTATAAACAGGCTAGCAAACATGAGTGCTGGAAACAAGCCATGGAGGCAGAACTTCACGCACTTAAGGCCAATCATACTTGGGACATTATTTCTTGTCCTTCACATGTTAAGCCTATTGGGAGCATGTGGGTTTATACTGTGAAACTCAAGTCTGATGGATCTTTGGATAGATACAAAGCTCGATTGGTTGCTCTTGGCAATAAACAACAATATGGCTTCGACTATGAAGAAACCTTCGCACCCGTTGCTAAGATGACTACGGTGAGAACACTTCTTGCTATTGCAGCCTCTAAAGCCTGGCCTTTATATCAGATGGATGTAACCAATGCCTTCTTGCATGGGGATCTTAAGGAAGAGATTTATATGACACTTCCACCTGGTATGTCCATAAAGGCTTCTAATGCAGTTTGCAAACTAAGACGCTCTTTGTATGGGTTGAAACAAGCACCTAGAGCCTGGTTTGAGAAGTTTCGCAACACTCTTCTCACCTTCTCCTTCACACAAAGTCAATATGATTCATCCCTTTTCTTTTACAAGACCACCACTGGTATGGTATTTCTCTTAGTTTATGTTGATGATATTATCCTCACTGGTAATGACATTGGGTTGATCACCAAGCTTCAACATATGTTACATAGTACATTTCAAATGAAAGATCTTATACATCTCACATATTTTTTGGGGCTGGAAGTTCACTCTAGAGATCATGGTTTGTTCTTAAATCAACATAAATATATTCAGGATCTCATTGAGCTTGCTGATTTAAAGAATGCTACTGCTGTTGATACACCAATGGAGGTGAATGTGAAATACCGAAAAGATGAAGGCGAGCTTTTGCCTAATCCTTTTTTATATCGGCAACTTGTTGGTAGTCTTATCTACCTAACAATTACAAGGCCTGATATCTCCTATGCTGTCCATATAGTTAGCAAATTTATGCAGGCACCTCGACATCTTCATCTTACTGCAGTTCGTCGTCTTATTCGATACTTAATTGGGTCCCCTACTCGTGGGTTGTTTTTTCCCAAACATTTTACTCTTACCTTGACTTCCTATAGTGATGCGGATTGGGCTGGCTGCCCAGATACTAGAAAATCTATTACAGGCTGGTGCATTTTTCTTGGAGATGCCTTGATCTCTTGGAAGTGTAAGAAGCAGGATTGTGTCTCTAAATCTTCTACAGAGGCTGAGTATCGAGCCATGTCAGCAGCTTGTTCTGAAATTGTGTGGTTACGTGGTCTTATTTCTGAACTTGGGTTCCCCCCTACTGCTCCTACTCCACTTCATGGTGATAATACTAGTGCTATTCAAATAGCTGCAAATCCGGTCTACCATGAACGCACCAAGCACATAGAGGTGGACTGTCATTATATTAGGGAGGCCTTTACTCGCGGTGTTATCACTCTTCCTCATCTCAATACTGCTCTTCAAATAGCTGATGCCTTTACAAAAGTCTTGACACGCCAACGACATAAGTTTCTCAGTCGCAAATTGATGTTGTTCGACCTACCCGCATCAATTTGAGGGGGGATGTCAATATATTCTCTTTTATTTCATTTTTTTAATAGCTATTAGTCTTTCTTTTGTAGCTGTCAGTATATTCTCCTTTTCTTATTCTATTTCTTTCATAGCTGTCACTATATTCTTCTTTCTTTGTTTAATTTCTGTCATAGCTGTATATCCCTGGATTCTCTCTAAAGATCTCAATTATTGTCTAGGCCTAGTATTAAAGAATCTGATTATGTTTATTAGATGCTAGAATTAAGGGTTTTGATACTTCTTGATGTATATATATATTGTAACTCTCTTAGTGAAAGGGGGACAGAAAACATTTCAGAATTTCTCTCTCTTAGTGAAAAAGGGACAGAAAACATTTCAGAATTTCTCTTGTATTATCTTGTCAAATGGTAGCATTGAAGGAGACTGGTTCATCATCTCGATTTGCAGTCCAGACGACCGTGTTATTAGGTTTACCCATCATCCATATTCCTACAGCAAATCCATTTCCCTGTGAATAGAAGCCAAACGCAAAATGGCCTGAAGGGGAGAGCCATGGATGTATGTTAGAGATGGGAGATAACTGAGAACCTAAGTGTATTTCACCAAATTTGTTCAGTTTAGTTCTTGCTTCCACATAGAGTATCGATAACATTAGAAGCAGAAGCCCTGATACCACAGCCATGCGGACAGGAGTGTGGTGCAAAGAGCCAAACAGATACAGAGAAGCAAGCTATTGCTGAGACTATACTGACTACTTGTTAATGTGAAGAAAATTCTAGCAAACTTAAAAACTATAACCGTGTGAAATGAATGATTTGTTCGCTATCGGTAGTAGCTTGTTAACGCGTCCTAGACCCGTCTTTCCAGTC